CCCAGACTCCCGACCCCTCGCGTGGAGACACGCCGCCTCGCTGGAGTTGCCAGGCGGCAGCAGTCTCCATGTAATCGGGTGACCAATGAATCCATTCCGAGATTCATTCCCCCAATTTACCATCTCCCACTTCTACCACGACGACCTATGAATTGGGACCCTTCTCGTGCAAACGTCGGAGTGTGTTGGCTAGCACACTCAATCCCTATATCCCACGTGGGACTGATCAACATGGACAACGCTCCGTGACGATCCCACTCATCTTAGCAGAGACGAAACGGACAGTCGGACCTCTTGAAAAGCAGACGGATGAAAATCGACAAGCCATGGGAGAATGAGGAGAAACGAGGCTGCAGTCATCCAAAAAGCGAGGACCGCTGCTTCCCATTTATGCTCACCTCGGCACATCCAAAACAAGCTGTTTCAAGCTTTGAGAAGCCTTGCCTTGAGCAAGTGTCTGCGGCATGCGTCGGTACATCTGCCATGCTCCTTCCTCTTCTTTTTCTTTTCCTTTTATCGTTGCCCAAAACACCAAATGTCGCAATCTTCCGGGCCGTACGAGGCGGTTCAAACAACTACACGGCTACCCCATATATACCCGCGAAATTCTGATTCAGAAACAAAAGCTTAAAGATGCTGGTCAGCCACTTACAACACAACAGACGACAAGGCGGCTCGAGAAATGGCGACCATGGCTGACCACCTACAACAACTTGCTTGACTTGTTGGGAACCCTTGACCCTACACTCTCACTATTCTTCGTTTCACAGACATATACATCAACTCTCGCACAACAGCACAACTCACGCAACACAAAAGGAAGCAGCCTTACTTGTCAGGGCTAGCTAGATACCGACGCTTACCCCATGGCCTTTTGTGCTCTCCTCCATTCGCCTTACTTCCATCTATGGCTCGTTCACATGCGTGAAATTGCGCAACCAAGACAACCAAGCTGCGAGGTAACTTGACTGACTGATTGACTGACTGCCACCGAGAGTGCACAACAGTAGGTGTCCAAATCGGAAGTTCGGTCGTCGGTTGGAGTAACAGACGGACAGACGGACGGGCGGGATAGATAAGATGGGGCGGTTGGGCTACCTGGCTGATGTTTTGCCGACTGACCGAGAACCCGGAAATGTCTGTTTGCATTTTGGTGTCTTTCTCACATCTTGGTTGGCATAACTTACACTACGGTATCAAGTAGAGAACGTCAGCTGCACTTCGAAAATTTTGGTCGAATTTTATTCCACGTCCCTTTAATTTTAACACCTGGAGATGTCTCTTTTTTTCTAACTTTTTTTTTGTACTTTTTTTTTTTTTCCTTTTTTTTTTTTCTTTTCTTTTTTTGCTTAGCTTTCTTCCAATACCAGACCTCACCATTCCTCTTATCCACCTGCGCGCCACTTCAGTCCGTGATTCACTTATCCCTTCAATAACCACATACCAGCATAACAAACCTGCCCTCTATCGAGAGGAGAAAGTTCCAGTTCCAGGCCTTCAAGAAGCGTGAGAGTTCCAGCTCCTCCTCAAATGCACAGGTGCACATATAGTCAGCAAAGCAGCAGAGTGGGGTTTGTGATACAGACGGCAACTTGCAGTTTTTTCTTTAGCAAATCCGGCAAGAGATTGAAGAGACGGGACCAGGTTCGGACCGTGACCGGGACCGGAACCGGGGCCGGAACCGTGGATGGGATGGATGGATGATGAGTTGAAAAGACAGTACAATACGGATCGAATCGCTGTTTTGGTGATTCTTGTTGGTTTGGATCATACTCATACATTAAATCGGATTCTTGATTCGTAGGCTGGAGGGGATGGGCAAGTTTGGTATGTAGGTCTGAAGTTGGAAAGCGTACCTACCTATTTGATATCTGTAACAAAAACCACAGACGTCTGGCTAGCCATCACATCAACTGTCTGCTATTTTGGTTCTACATGCCCCCCTCGTCTAGGAATTTTGTTACCATATTAACATTCTCTCACGTCTACAGTTCCTTTGGTTAAACCCTGCCCAAAAAAAAAAAAAAAAAAAAAAAAAAAAAAAAAAAAAAAGAAAAGGAAAAAAAAAACACGTCATCCACACATTCTTCCTAGTTTACCCCCGAACGGAACCACCAAATCTCAACATCCGAGGCCTCACCAACATCACCATCGGGCAAGAAAAATATTATCATTACTTACTACCCAACTCATTATTTCCACCACTACCACCCGTTCTTCAGAATATTTTCTCCCTCACTACAGACTAGTTTACTCACTCATCAAGAATCCCCTCCAAAGCCTCCCCCAAACCCCCCTCATCATACCTAACCTCCTTCCCATCCTCCTGGACTCTCCCCTCCACCCTAACACACTTAATCCCCAACCCTTCCAACTCCTTCACGTCCACCTGTGGCGCTGTTCCCGTCCTCGCCAGCTGTCCACCTACTTCTTGTCCGTCGAGATAGATCAGGTGCGTGACGTATTTTCTTAGTAGTCTCCCTTGTGCTTGTTGATCGTTATTATTCGATCCCGCGGCAGGATCCTTGTCATCTTTACCATGAGGATGAGGATGAGCATGAGGACGAGGTTGATAACTCGGATCACTCCTTCGCGATTGCTCTCCGGCCTCGGCCACCGCTCTGACGAAATCCGTCGCCGTCATCGGTTTACTCTTCGGCCCTGTCTCCCGATCAATCGTCGCGTTCAACACCAATACCCTTTTTGTCGTATTCGTCGTCGTCCTCCTTTCCATCATCATTGTTTCCGCCTGTCCTTGCCCTTGCTCCCCCTCCCCGTCCTTATTAAAATCCTCCTCCTCCTCCTCCTCATCACCAGCCAAAGCCTCCCCCACCCCCCTCAACACCAGACTAGGCACAATACTCGTCCACAAACTCCCAATGCTGTACACCACCATAGTCGTCCCCGCCAACGCATCAATCACCTTGGGATTCGCGTTCGGCCAGATCTCGTGCCCGTACGGATTAATGTACCACACCCTTTCGATCCGTGCACTCAACTGGTCGGCTTCGTCCGAATCGGATTTGCTAAAAGATATGTTTTGCGTGCGAAGAGAGGGGAGAGAGCCAGGGAGGGACGCGTCTTCGGTTTCGGTTTGGGAGCGGGCTCTTGCGCCGGGGCGGGATGGGAGAGAGGGGAACGTGGGTCTGGTTGGGGTGGTGGTTGCTGAGAAGGACGACGTGGTTACGGAGGCGGCGGTGGAGGATCCAGCAGTAGATGGGACGGTCAAATGCTGAGGAGGGAGCTTGAAGATGCCGCCGTCATGCATAGCCATGGCCATGGCGGCGGGATGAAGGTTTGCCGAGGAGGGAGGAGCGCCGTGGCCGTGTCCCCCGTGTAACAAGGGAGGGAAGGAGGGAGTGGCCAGCGAGATCTTGACGTCGTCTGGCAAAGCGGTGGGCGCGCTCGGGTGGCTGATGGCTACCTGCCCCGCGATGGTCGTGCCGTCTTCGAGGCCGGCGGAGATGTGGTGCGTGAAGTTGGAGTTGATGGCAGGGAGGACACTGACGTTGGGCGGGATGGAGCAGATCATGGAGAGGAGGTAAATGGCGGACTCAAAGGAGCCGGAGAAGATGCGGGCGCCGGTCAGGAACATGTTGCCGATGGAGGCTTCGGCGAAGTTGAAGGTGGACGTTGGTCGGGTTCGCTTGACGATCTCGAGGTTCAAGGTGTTGAGGATGGACCGGATGAGTTCTCGTTTGGGAGACGAGATGTAGGCCCAGAGAAGGTGGCGGGCTTCGACGATGTCGAGCCATTCTATACGGGCTTTTGATGGATCACCGGGGAGACGGTACTCGAAGAGCGCTTTGAGGGCGGCTTTTTCTTGGTTATTGGAGGGGTTTGGGATCAGGCGGACGAGACGGCCTGGGTTGTGTTAGTAGGTTCATCTTTGGGTTCTCGTCTGCCATGTATGAGTTTGACGACATACTCCTGATATCACCAACACCTGTAGCGCTATTAGCCCTTGTTCTACACTGACAGAAAGGGTCTCACTCACTTGGCCCTCCAATGAACCTAATCAACTCGGACGAACTTC